CCCATGAAGCCTGACTCTTGTAGTCTGAGCTTCTAGTCATCAGATCATCAGATACATATGGTAGAGTATTAAAAAAGGCCAAGGCCACCATGACAATGAGAAAAAGAAAAGTAACCCTTTCAGCAACCTCTGCTAGCAGTGCACTGAGGAGCTGCTAGGCTCTCAGGATCCTGGGTCTGGAATGCGGAGTTTAACAAGGGTTCGATGCCTGGCTCCAGCTCAGGCCGCACAGAGCAGCCTGGAGACACACGCTGTATTTCCATTATTTGCCCGTCTGAAATAATACGCACTTTAAGCAAAGGAAAAAGCTTGTTGATTCCCTAGGGAGTGTATTATCACTTCTCTGAAGCAGTATAGCTTAGTAGTTATGGGCCTGTCACTTACCTAGTGGTGTGAACTTGGGCAAATTACTTTGCCTCAGTTTTTCCAGCTGTAAAATGGGAATAGTAATTGGGCCAGTCTGACCTACACCTAGACTTGCCCATGGGTGTTATCATGCCTTGTGCTCATGACAGCCCTGGATACCTTGACTTTCTCCATATTGCAGATTTTGATGTTTCATTTTATTTTCCAATGTCTAAGCAAAAATAGTTGAAAGGAAGAATAGTGCCATGTTAAGTCTCCTTGCCTCAAATTGGGGGGTGTGAGGGTGACACCCTTGAAAGTTATAGGGTCATGATTTAGTACCATTAAGAATTCAGCTTCTTGCAGAGGCCTTCATCTTGTGTGTCAACTTTGGTCTGTTCTTTAGGGGATACTGGGAAAGCTGCACTGAGGAAATTAGAAGGTCTCACACACATTCAGATGGAGGGAACACTGCAAGGATTAGCCATATCTGCTATGGACACAGGAAAGAAGCTTTGTCCCATAGTACTACTTGCCATTCCAGGTGGACAGGAGCATGACAACAGCTGGCCAAGGGTCAGGCCAGTCTGATCAGACCTACACCTAGACTTGTCCATGGCTGTTACCATGTCTTGTGCTCATGACAGCCCTGGACACCTTACCTTTCTCCATATCACAGATTTTGATGTTTCATTTTAATTTCAAGTGTCTAAGTGAAAAAAGAATCTTCACTGAAATGTATAGTGTACGTAAGAATCTCTCAAAGTTTGTTCCTGTATATGAAAGAAATGGCTCTCCCTGCGTGAAGAAAATCTGAGTTCAATCCTAGCAGCTCAATTAAGATTTATCCATTTTTCCAGGTTTTCCATTGACAGCCTTCATTCCAGAAGAAATAATATGTGCTTTTAGTGGGCTAGCGTTGCTAATTGACATGCTGTGAAATGAATTCAGCCCTCAGATGTGGTTTTTAAATTGAATTTATCTTCAACCTAAAAGAACTACTAATTATTACGTTAAAGTCTGGATCATCCAGTTCTTTTTAAAGAGCTGGAAATCTGGGCCAATTTTATCCACATGGGTCAAATGAGCATCCCCATTTTATTTACATGGAGTTACAAGGAACCATCGATGGCTTTCCTATCTCCAAAAGCAACAAAGAACAATAGAACTCAGCACTCTACCTGTGGGGCAGGGTCTAGACATGAGTTCTAAATTTCATACGACCTGTTGGTTGTCACAATTTGTGGGGGAGGTTGCTACTGGCATCTCCAGAGTAGAGGTTATGATGGCTAAATATGCTACAATGCACAGAACAGTTCCCTCACAGCAAAGAATTATCCGATCCCAAGCTGGGCGCGGTGGCTCATGCCTGTAATCCCTGCACTTTGGGAGGCCAAGGTGTGGGGGATCACAAGCTCAGGAGTTTGAGACCAGCCTGACCAACATGGAGAAACCCCAGCTCTACTAAAAATACAAAAATTAGCTGGGCGTGGCAGCACATGCCTGTAATCCCAGCTACTCAGAAGTCTGAGGCAGGAGAATCGCTTGAACCCAGGAAGTGGAGATTGCAGTGAGCTGAGATGGCACCACTGCACTCCAGCCTGGGCAACAGAACAAGTCTCTGTCTCAAAAAAAAAAAAAGAATTATCTGGTCCCAAATGCCAATAGTGTCAAGGTTGAGAACTAACCCCTTGCTTTAAAGAGTGATTTTGTTAAGAAAAATAAAAAAGAATCGGTAGCAGAGGCCCTGCTAAGTCAGACTGGGGGCTTCACTTTGTTTTCTAAAGTTAACTGAAAGTAAACAACATTTATGACTCAGCCTGCTGCAAGAAGCAGGGGATGGATGGCTGTGGTGAATGACAAAAACAATAATAAATGGATTTGCCTGTCTTGTCTCTTTTTCAGAGTCAGGGAAGGAATGAAATGACCGGTAATTATCATTTAAACTGCTGTTTTATCCTGCATCAATCAGAGCTATTCATTCTGGTTACTCACAGACCCTTGGGCTGAAACCACACTAAATCAGGGTCACAGCCAGTGTGAATGTATAAGGCCAGCCTTTTTACTCTGCAAGTGTTAATGACCTGGGCTGAACAGCAAGGGCAAGTTTCCATGCAAAAGCCATCTGAGATCTTAATCTAGGAATAAATGGTTCTATATGGAGCCTATTACCTGGTTTTTAATATTCTGTATTCAATGGGACCACAGCTGTAAACAACTCTTCATTCATTTCTCCATGAAGTTAATTTGCACTGTGTCAGCACTGCAGGCTTTTTGCATATGTTCAGGACAAGCTGATATGAGCAGGCCTGGAATGAATAATGTTTAGTAAAATCAATAAACCTTATTATTAATCACTAAGGGGACAGATTTTATGTCTATAAGAGTAAAACAATTAGAACGTATTAATGGCAGATTCATCATAGTAATATAATGGAGCCAAGTACGCTTGTCTTTTGGGAATCTTTAATTTACTATTCGGTACTGACTATATACTCAGCCAGAGAAATGGCACATATAATATAAATAAGCTCTGGCCTTTGGCAATTCATGTTGTCATCAGCAAAGACAACACTGAAACAGTAAGAGGAAGAAACAAAACTTCATTTAGTGATTAATCTAAACCGTCATGAATAATGTTCCAGTAAAAGCCTAAAGGAAGAACCTATTCAATTGCAATGTGCTTTTGGTCATATATCTCTTTGTATTTATCAGCATTCCTGTTTATTACAGTAGCAGAGTTAAAGATGGTCCAATGTACCTATTTACAACCCTATTTATTTAATCACCTAATTAGAAGTGATTTTTTAAAGCCTGGTATGTAATAAACATACATCTAGTCATTCTGCAGCTGAAAGGTAAGATTGGCTTCCATATACATTACTAAGAGCAAAAACTCATCAGGAATCCTCAGTATCACCCAGCTACCAACAGGAACATAATAAATAATTCAGCTAGTGAAGATGTAAATTGACCTTAATTCTGCTTCTGTGCTTTGACAGTTAAGGGGTTGGTCAAGAACTGGATTGGCATGGAGGCAACCAACAGATACCTTGCTAACTATATTCTAAACAGAGGAAACATACTTGCTTAACTAGTGTAAGATAAATTACCTCAAGTTTTCAAGGATAATCCAGATGTTGTATAAAAACTAAAAAGCTTTGATAGCTTAAAAATGATGACAAATATGTGAAATACTCTTATGAGTAGGAATAAATACCATAAACAATGTTTCTATAAATGACAACTTGGAAGGTATTCACAAGAAAAACTGAAAACTAACAGAAAAATACCTTCTTACTAAAATCTATTAAGAACATGGACTAGATGTATAAGGCAAGCAGCAAAGGCAACACTTTAAGGTGGTCTTTCAAAAGCAAGGGAAACATTTCTTTTGGATTGCAAAATTCTATTCATTTGTGAAGGAAAGGCCTCTAGGTAGACCTAATCAAATTATACCAAGACAAATTCTGCCTGCTTAAAGAACTTTTTAGTACATCGAGTGGTAAAACTGTCATTAGCAATTATAGTAAAATAATAAAAACTTACAGCTGGAATGAAGCATTGAAATCAACCAATCCAAACATACAAAGCACACTCCCACTTTGGGGCTTGTGGTACTGGCTTTTCCACCTCGCCATAGTGCTGTTCCCCAAGACACCTGCATGGATCCCTTCCTCATTTCTTTCTTTCTTTCTTTTTTTTTTTTTTTTTTGCTACGGAGCCTCGCTCTATCACCAGGCTTGAGTGTAGTGGTGCAATCACAACTCACTACAACCTGTGCGTCCCGGGTTCAAGCAATTCTCCTGCCTCAGCCTCCTGAGTAGCTGGGACTACAGGTGCGCACCACCACGCCCAGCTAAAAGTTTATTTTTAGTAGAGATGGGGTTTTCACCATATTGGCCAGGATGGTCTCGATCTCTTGACCTTGCGATCTGCCTACCTTGGCCTCCCAAAGTGCTGGGATTACAGGTGTCAGCCACCTCGCCCAGCCCCTCCCTCATCTCTTTAGTGACCACTCTGTTTACAGTTACAAACCAGCACACAGTAACTGTGCCCCACTCCCATGCTTCATTTCTCTTCATTGCATTTATCAGCCATCTAACATGCATTGTATATTATTTAGATATTTTATGACATGTTTATCCCACCCACTAAAAAATGTAAGCTCTGTGAAGACAAGAATTTGTTACTGCAATATGCCAGCACCCTGTACTGTGCTTGGGATAAAGCAGGCACTCAGTGTTTGCTCAAAGCAAAGAAGTGGGGGAAGAGGCAGTTAAAATGTGGCTTAAAATATTTTAATAAATCAATGTAATGACAGCTAACTGACTGAATGACTTTTTACATATTTTCCCTACTGTCCACATGTCATCAGATTTGCATCTTTGGAGTATTATTCCATACCACAAAAACCTGTATCTACCAATTTCTAGTGATATCATGCTCCGTGTTTAGAATAAACACCATGTGAATGGGAATACATTCACCAAATTAAATACTCTATTTGGTTGTTATGCCTATGTATCCTATCCGAAAAGTTAGTATCTCCGTACTGTGTTTTGTGTTGGATATTAATAATATTAAGAAACTCTTCTTTGAAAATTAGAATGACTATCAGCCAGGTAGAAAATAACATGAGACAGACAAGAAGCCATTATTTAAAAAAAAAAAAAAACCTTTTTAATTCTGATTGCCAAATTATTTAAGGCAGGTATAAAAAAGGAAAGCATTCAATATACATTTTACATAAAATAAACTAGATTACAGCATAAAACAAGTAACCAGGCAATGGCATTAAAGTCTCTCTCTTCTAAAACTGGGTAATTGTAAACATTAAAAAAAAAAAAAAAAGACTTTAGGACTATTCAAGTAATAGAACAATCACAGATGTCTCTGGTACGCAGGCTATTGGGTTATTTGCCATTCAAGATTATCAAAAAATGACACCTCATTATTCACAGATGCTCATTATTTCCCCATTTTAATCTTTACATTATATACAACACAGTTTTTGTGGTACTGGCAACCCCATGCCTTCCAAAAGTATTTTTTCCACAATACACAAGTACAAAGAGTGACTACAGGAACATTTTACACTGATGCATCTTTAACAGGAGCCACCAAATAGACATCTAAATTGTACCAAAGTGTCATCATCACAGTTAGCCTTTCTGAGGGGCTTATGGGAAATATGTGAAGGATATGCAAGGTTCAGGCACACTGATACATAACATTATTTATTTACAATTTTAAAGGAAAAGGAAAAAAAAGAAAGTAGCCTTTTCTGGCTAACACTTTTCAACATGACAAATACATTTTAATTTCCTTTACTGAGTGGTTTGCGACGTGGCAGCAGACCCTGTGTGTGCGAGCCTGGTTACTGATACAAAAAGTAAAGAATATATATATATATAATATATATATATATGTATATATACAGATATGTATACGTATATATATATATAAAACAGAAGTTTAATTACAGAAACATTTGTTACTCTGTGATAAAATCTGTAATTTACAAAAATGAAATGACTGGTTTTTGCCTGCCATTAAGGCATTTCAAATTAACACCATGGAACTGATGTCTGTATAAAGCGCTTCCCCATGTGATCCAGTCACATGACAATGTACATTTCCAATCTTGTTATTCTCTGCAAAAGAAAAGCAAACTTTAGCACAGGGTTCTATCAACTTTTTTTTTTTCTTGAAACACAGTTGCAACTCTGTCACCCAGGCTGTAGTGCAATGGTACAATCTTGACTCACTGCAACTTCTGCCTCCCAGGTTCAAGAAATTCTCGTGCCTCAGCCTCTCTAGTAGCAGGAATTATAGGCGCATGCCACCACGCCCAGTTAATTTTTGTATTTTTAGTAGACACAGGGTTTCACCATGTTGGCCAGGCTGGTCTGGAACTCCTGACCTCAGCTGATTCACCTGCCTTAGCCTCCTAAAGAGCTTGGACTACAGGCATGAGCCACCGTGCCCGGCCTCTATCAACATTTGACACTGCAAACCTGAAAACTATAAGACTGATAGGCTTATTTTTAATTCCATTCAAACGTGGAATTCAATTCCAGAGAAAGTGAATAAACACAAAGTAATGATATACGTTGTGAAAAGTATTAATTTTATAATATTAATAATTTAATTCCTTTAAATCATTTTTCTTCTTAAAACTTAAGGAATAATTTAAAATATCAAAGAGCAAACGTTACCTTTAGCATTATGAAAATAAATGTCTCCATTTGCGACTTTATCTTTAAATATAATAAAACAAAGGGAGTCATGGTGAATTATTTTAGCAATGCTGTAAGGATAAGCCAAGAAAATTTCAACTGTCTGAAAAACTAATCAGTTAATTACTCATCTACATAACCCTCATAGAATGAGCTTCATGGAATTTTAAGTTGCATGTGAAGCAACTCATATTGGCATAATAAACACACTCATTATAATGATATAAAACCCAAGGATATAGGCTTTTGGTCTAAAAATCCCGTATTTGCTTCCTCCCAACCATTAAGACATTTTCCATTTAGAGCTAATTTAAAATGTAGAGGATATTTACCTTCTTTGTCCAGGAAACATTCCAGATGCAGATGCCTGGGCAGCCACCTGCTGAGAGGCAACAAGGGCAGCAGAGGTCAAGCCTAATGGGGACAAAAATATACAGTGTCTGTGACCTTTAGAAGGACAAGAGTAGATACAGGCCCAGTGCAGAAGGGCCACAGACCCAGCGGCAGCACGGTGTCCTCTCCCGAACACACACGTGAACTGTTTCATGCAGCAAGGACACAGTACAAACCATTTGGTCTATTTGCTATCTATCCTTTCTTGAACACTCTGCAGTTTTCTTCATAGCTATTAAAAGGAGATACAGCATTCCATCTCTCTGACTCCGCATGGTGCTAAATGGTTTGCATGCATTCCTGAATAGGAAGCTCAGGAGAAATAATAGATGCCAGGTAACAACAGGAATCAAAAGTCACAGTGAATTACAGAAGCTGCATGCTATTTGCCTGGAATACAATACTTTCATAATAATTGTTATCACTTCAACATTTTCCCCAGCGACTGAACACAATGCATCTCATAAGGTACACAGAATCAGTAAATCAAACTTAGAAATGCTCTTAACTTTCACCCCACAAGACGAAGGCAGCAGTCAGAGCCTGTAATAGCTCCAAATGGCATGATGGTGCCTAATAGAGAATTCTTTTAAATTCTATAGACGACAGTCCTGGGGAAAAAGAGAGTAAAAAAGTGCAAACCTAGGGAAGATTACCGCCTCCTTCTATGTCTTTTATTTGGATACATTTTCATTTCCCAGAGGTAATGTAAGACAGTAAAATAACAATAATAATATTATCTTAAAAGAGACAATTATTTTCTGCTCATATATAGTTTATATATAATGTGTTAGACTAGAAATAAAACCTCTCTCTCTTCCAAGTTCTTACCATACCAATACAAATTGTTTAAGAGATTGAAAAGCTCCCTTTTAACATTACTCGTTGACACTAAGTAAAAAGACTTGAATACATAAAAATGACCCTTCACATCTGTATATCACTTGCCAGTTTTGGAAACACCTTCAAACATATTCTCTTACTTTCTATTCACACAGCAGTGAAAGAGGCAACTTGGCAAGTGCAATAGGCTAAATTACGTCTGCTTAAAATATGTTGAAGCCTTAAATCCACAATGTGATTAGATTTGGAGATGGGGCCTACAGGAAGGTAATTAAGGTTAAATGAGGTCATATGGGTGGGACCCTAATAGGACAGGATTAGTGTCCTTACAGGAAAGCACACGAGGGCTCCCCCTGCCCCTTCCCCACCCACCAGCTCATGGACAAAGAAGAGGTCATATGAGCAAACAGCAAGACAGCGGCTACACACAAGCCAGGAAGAGAGGCCTCAGCAGAGGCTGGCTGTGCTGGCACCCAGATCTTGAATTTCCAGCCTCCAGAACTGTGAGAAAATAAATTCCTGTTGTTTAAAGCCATGCAATCTGTGGTATTCTAGCCAGTTGTAAAGATGGTAACACCACCCACCTGCTATGAAATGACAAAGATGGGACAAATAATACATGTTCAACTAGTAAGCCACAAGGTGAAGCTTCCCTCCTATCAATCCGAGGGCTTTTTAAAAATGTTTCTTTTTCTCAATTCTCCCATTTAGTGAAGTCACAGCAGTGAAGAGCTGTGAAAAACCCTTGAATGAAGTTATAAAAGTGTTAAACCTGATCACATTACTCCCACGATTTCCATGGGAAAAGAGCAACTTAAAAAGCATGTAGAAATCAGAGCAAGTAATTTCACCAAAGCCTCCCACCATCTCCCCCTTTTCCTACGATTTCCCTGAAGGAGATATCTGATCTTCTGATTGTTATATTCAGTGCCCCAGACACCGGCCACCACCCTCAGTCTGTGAGATAACAGTAAGCTGCAGATAACATCAACTGGTGACAATTATTAAGTGGTAGCCATTTCAGGTCTCAATAGAATACAAAGATGTGAGAATAGCCTTAGCTGTGTCGCTAGGAAATAAGTGTTAAAAACCCTCCTGAGAGCTAATGTGAACTCAAAGCTGAATACTTTTAAGATGTGAAATGCAATTTTAACAACTGTTTTCCAAAGCAGAATGGCCAAAGACACAGTAATGACAGAGCTACTGACCTTGAAAAGGGTCGTATTGACCCGGGATTAGCGGGTAACCCATGCCAACGTGGGTGTGGTGGTGCGTGTGCAGGTGCCGCTGGCCGAAGGGGGAGTGGCGATCCCTTTCCCTTTCTGCCTCCCGTTCCCGCTCAGCTGTAGCCTTTTCCACTGGCTGCAACAGAAAAGAGAGATTTCCCCCATTAATGCTCTGAAAATCAACTTTAGAAGAGTGCTAGACCACCTTTGACCCTTCGACGATATTGTGTTCATGATTAAAAGTAAATATAAGGATACAATTCTTTAGAAACTAAAGAGAATTTCAAAAGACGTGCATTAGTTTCATTTGGAATTAAGCCAACATTAAAGAACTGCTCCACCCAAAGTAAACCAAGTGACACCAATGTTTTCCTGAAATGATGAAAATAAGGACTTCTCTCTATATTCGTTCATAAGTGCAGGTTAAGAATTCACCCAACTGCTTCCCAGCAACAACTGTTACAAAATAAATTGTTTTGGAGATATCTTTAAAGTCAAGTTTTCTAATTACGCTTGTATTTTGTGGGGAGAGCCTATCTCACAATTTTAAACGTGTGTGTACACATTTTGTTCTACTGAAAAAACACGCCCTAAAATTATATGCCAATGTAAAGCACAAGAAATCACTGTCCTACACTCACATTTTGAATCTCTCAATTTCTGAACTCCCACAGAGAAGCTCCCTTCCTCCCAAACCATAGTTTGGGGTAAAGATGGTTTATTTCCTATGCCTTTCTACCTTTAGAACCTAACCACCCTTTAACTAAAGTTATCCTTCTCACTTAAAAGAAATCCTTGTATTAAGAAGGAAGACTCAGAAAAAGATTCAGAAATCACCTTTTCTAGTTTCTCTACAGAGTTGCTGGTGGACCTATTCACATTGCAGATATTATTATTTTAATTTCCTTTAAACTCTTTCATAGCCAAGCACCATCGTATTTTTGTTTAGTGTCTCTTCACAACCGTCTCTAGGACTAGAGCACTCACCCTTTTTGGGGAAGAGCCATCTTTCACAGACACATATTTGTACTGCTTCAGCAGAGTTAAAGGGACATGACAAAGAATCGGAGCAAAAAAACAGCAGACACAGTTCTCACCCCTAAGCCACATGAATTCCTCTTGCATACGAGCCTCAGTGTGCAAGGCTCAAACTTGTGCCTTATTACATGTTACGAGCACTCGGCTTTGCTAGTGATGAACTCCTAACCATGGACATTGATGACGTGAATATGAAGGGTCAATACAAGTAGTAGAAACCTTAAATCTCTCCAGAAGTCAAGCTAACAACAAAGGTAAGTGATGCAGTTGGAGAGCTTCTATTTATATCCATGCACATTGGTGGGAAGCAGGACTTACTGCCTAGATGGGGCTACTTGCTTCCATCAGCTTCTGCCAGAGGATTTTGAACCCGATTTTCTATTGTCTTTTTTTTTTTTTTTTGAGACAGAGTCTTGCTCTGTCGCCCCAGCTTATGTGCAATGGCACAATCTCTGCTCATTGCAACCTCTGCCTCCCAGGCTGAAGTGATTCTCCTGCCTTAGCCTTCCAAGAAGCTGGAATTACAGGTGCCTACCACCACGGCAGGCTAATTATTGTATTTTTAGTAGAGACAGAGTTTCACCATGTTGGCCAGGATGGTCTTGAACTTCTGGCCTTGGGTAATCTGCCCACCTTGGCCTCCCAAAGTGCTGGGATTACAGGTGTGAGCCACCACACCTGGCCCAGATTTTCTATTGTATTAAAAGAGGTCATCTGAATTTGCATGTAAAATATCTGATTTTTAAAAGCTATCCCACAAGAAAATATGTTTTTGAAAAGCTTGATTTGCCCAAAAGACCAACAGTTTGTAGCCTCTGAACTACTTACTCACAAAAAGTATATAAAATAGACTCCTCTGTTACCTAATTCCTCAATGTCTTATCAAACATATTTTGCACCAAAAGTTGGTTCCTATGAATTCAAATTTCTACCTAACAACCATCCTCCTGGGTAAGCAAGGTATACTAGATTTTTGCAACAGAAAAGCTTGCTACTGCCATACAAGCTTTAACAATTTTCTCACACATGTGAAAGCATCTTACTTTTGAACACGCCATTCTTTATGTATTAGGATAAAACAGCATCCTGAAATCACAGCTGGGTTCCGAAACCCATTTATATTTCAAGACTGTTCTCTAGTTTGTTCCCCTTTCTCCCCCAAAACACAGTACTTTTAAATAACAACAAAAGGAGGCTTACAGCAGGAGACTTGCTGCGGTATTGGTTAGCATGCTGCTGGAGCAAATCCAGTGCTTTAGATTCAGTGGTTGTTTTCGTGTTGATGCTAGGGCTGGTATTGACTTTCTCTGTCTCTTCTCTCCCTGACATCTTCCCATAAACAGGATAATGAAATCCTGGAGAGAGATAGGCCCCTGCAGATAAACAACAAATGCCACATCAAGTTAAGGGCTGTATCTTTAAAAAAAAAAAAAAATCATTTGGGTTACATGAATTTGGGATAAGAGTCAAAGGGATCTTAAAATAGGGAGTTCCATTAAGAATGGGCTACATCATCATTAAACTGTATCTAGCTTCTCCAATTTTCTTCTCCCAGTTAATTCATCCTGATGAAGGGAGGTTATAAACAGAATTGAGCTTACAGCCATTTCATACATTTACGTGTCCGCTTAAGTGAAAGGAATAGTAGCTATAATGATTATGACAGTAAGTGCTTAGAATATTTTCATAGGCTATAAAGTATCTGTCAGTCTAACAGCTATAGCAGACCATCAGAGACTATGGAAACTATATCTGAAGATTCTTGACATTTCATTAAAAGAAATCTTATATTAAATCAGTTTCATCTTTGGGACTTTAAACCGCACAACAACAAGCAAAACAAATGTCACTCTTGAAGCTTCTAATTTATCTTGAGTTTTTAACAGCTAATATTTGAACATTGCCTCTTCCCTCCAGTATAGTCAGAACCGACAACACGTACCAGGGTAACTGTGCATTAGGACGGGAGAAACAGCTCGGTATGCAGGATGGCTTGGGTCGTACATCTGTGGGTAAGGATAAGCATGCAAGTACTGTATGTATGACTGATGCTGACTCATGGGTGAGGAGACAGCCACTCTTGTTCCCCGAGAGTCCTTCCAGTTCACAGGAGTCTTTCGATCATCATTTTTCAGCTTGCTCTCCTCCATTGATTGAGAATCAGGACGCTTGGCCTCTTTGGGCTCCTCTTTAATGCTCGTTAATGATACAGGAAGGCTGGACACACCACTCTCTTTATTAGGGGTTTTCCTGGGACTATCCTCTTTTAATTTCTTCTCTCTATCAAGTTCTTCTGACTTTTGCTGATCCAGATATTTGGGCTGGTATACGTAATGATGCCATGTTCTTGAATCTGGATCCTGATTTTTTTTTTTTAAAGAAAAAAACATTAGATTTGTTTTAAAATTTCAATTTTAAAGAAAACTTGTTAATGATCATGACAGCACTAGTACTCTCAATTTTCATGCTAAGTTGACCTTTATTTATGTGCTAGACACTGTGCTAATTGCTTTACCTCCTTCTCTTACAAGGTGATAATGTCCCAGGTAAGCAGCATTACTATTGATCCCTTGTACAGAAGACAGAACCGAAGCATTTGAAGTTCAAGCAACATCAAGGTCATGCTGCTGCCCAGTAGAAGAGCTGGGCTTCAAACTCAGGTCTGCTAAAATTCAGAGCTGAGCCCTTATCGTAATTTCTCAACACTAAATAGCATCCTCAGACATATTCAATTCCACCTTCATTTGCCTTTTAATATCTCGCACAGGTCAAAGAGTGTTAAAAACTCTAACTCAAGCTAATAATAGTAAATTTAAGCAATTGCTATAGCTATTAACATCACTTACGAGGAAAAACTCTTGGTTTCCTAATACATTTTCCTCATCTACTGCAGCTGAGGCTTAATATATTGGCTCACTTCTCATTATGTGCTATCATCTTAATCAAAACAAAATTTCAAATTAATAGCACACATTATGGCTTCTCTATTGGAAAACAAAGCCATCTATAACCCCCCCAAACTGTATCATTCTTATGCAGACCTGTGAAGTGACAGCCTGATTTATGCCTCTGGAAGTGGGGTAACTGAGAATCCTAAACGGCCTTTGTGATGCCCATCCCATTCATGATATAAACCCACTGGGATTCAGGTTCTCAGAGAATATGCAAAGTTAGGTCTAAGTGAATATGTGTGTGTGGGTGGTGGTGGTGGGGGGTAGTGGTTCTTGCTCTAATGCACCAGGGATTATCTAAGCATGGGGGTTAGGGCCAGAGTGGGGGTGTGCAGTGCTGGGAAATACCAGGATTAATGCTCATGGGATTGCAGTGAGTCAGGGTGTCTGAACCATGACAGAAGGTGCTAGCACATTTGTGGTTTCATGGTGACCAATTTTCAGGTGTTCTCAAGCTGACTGACCCCGGGGGCTCTGGGAGAGCTGCTGAGGACCGCCACCCAAACATCCTCACCCTCCTCACAAACGTTCAGCACGAAACTCTGGGTTTTGGGGTACTTAACACAGTGTAAAGCTGAAACCTAGGCATCTCTGACCCCCTGTGAAAGAAATTTGGGCCCCAAATTCTATTAAAAACATGAATGAGGCCAGGCACGGTTGGCTCACACCTGTAATCCCATCACTTCGGGAGGCTGAGGAGGGCTGATCATGAAGTCAGGAGTTCAAGACCAGCCTGACCAACATAGTGAAACCCCTGTCTCTACTTAAACTACAAAAATGAGCCAGGCATGGAGGCACGAGCCTGTAATCCCAGCTACTCAGGAGGCTGAGGCAGGAGAATTGGTTGAACCCAAGAGGCGGAGGCTGCAGTGAGCCGAGATCACCCCACTGCATTCCAGCCCTGGCAACAAGAGCGAGACCCGGTCTTAAAAACAAAAACAAAAACTAAATGGGATATGTGAATGTAGGGACCCAGTTTTTACCAGTTTTTATTATCTTCCAAGAAGATGCAAATAGAGATCTGAAAATGGAAAATAAATGTTTTAGAGATGAGACGCAGAATCTCAGAGTGGGAATTCAGCAGCCCCACCGTGGAATGCCCTCGCCTTGGACTAAGTCAGAAATTAAGGGACCTCATCAGAGTCATAGAGCGAGTAGTGGCATAGAACACAATCTGCAAAGCACATGTCCACAGTTCCTTTTACTATATAACATGACAAGAAAATAGTGATAATGTACATTTGAGAGCTACATAGTAACTCCTAAGAATCTTAAGATATTTTCAAGGGAAGAGGAAAAAACTCTTAATGTGGGTTTCCTTCCTGTGTCAGAGGTCTAACCAGATCAAGCCCAGACATGTATAATACAAGTCTCAGACTGCTCTCTCCCTGTTGGGGCCACGCTCCACAATCTTACTTGTTTAAATCTCGAGGTTGGGTCTACACCTGTCTGCTTCATAGAGTCCATGACAGACTTCATTTCTACAGCCTCCTTAATAAGCTGGTGGTTTTCCATCTGCTTAGCTTTGAAGCTGTCGGCCTGAAGCTGCTGCTGGTGATTGGAGAGAAGCTGCGATTTACCTGTCTCCTCAGTTTTATTAGGCACTGATGGCCCTAGTTTAGAATGGTTTTTGTTAGGCTCCGGAGTAGAGGGAGCTTTTGAGATTGTGGCCGATGGCATGTTTTTCTGTTTAGTTTCCTCCTTGCCCAGCTCTTTCAAGGGGAGCTCACTTTTCCTTTCACAGTCTCCTCTCCCAGTCTGGGCCATTTTCTGCTCTGCCAACCTCTGGTCCTCATAGTACTTCTCATATTGCTGTCTATAGGCAGGGCTGGTGGCCATCAGAGACTTCTGGTCCATATAGAGCCCATAGGCATACTGGCCATAATACAGTGACTGAGCCAGGGCAGGATGTCTTTGTGTGATCACCGACTGGTGCTGAGGCTGCAAGGATGCGGAACTGTGGTCCACTTTCTTAGAATCTAACTGCTCTGCCTTGTCTTTCTTTTCGGCATCTTCCTCAGACTCCTTCTTGATCTTCATTCCCTGTGTGCTCCCACTATTTCCAGCTGCAGGGGCGCCGACCTGCCCAGGGTGCATGTAACTTGGAGAATAATAAGGATCATAGCCGTGGTAATACGGAGAATGGGACTCTTTCAGTTGAGATGATTGTGCTGTAGTTGAAGAATGCCCTTTCACTCCACCGTCCTTACTAGAAATAATATCTGATGGGGAACCGGCCTTTGATCTCATGCCCTCTGACCTGCTGTCGGAACCACCGTCGTCAGCAGCATCGGATATGTCCGAATAGGCCGGGCTGCTTGTCTTGGCGGCTGAACTCTCGGCCCCATTCTGGTTCAACACATGCAGAGGTACCATTGGTGCCTGCCCGTTCACCAAAGTGCTGCATTCCATCCTCGAGGCGCTCCCGATGGAAGGGCTGGGGGCGTTGTCTGTGAAAGTGTACACCTTATCGGCTTCGGCTTTGATACTGGCCATGCGGCTCTCCTGAGACTCTGACAGTCCATTTGCCAGCCCTTCATTCTTGTTGAGATGATCCTTTAAAAAATGGCCAGGTAGATCTTTGCTGGCCCCCTTGGAGTCCTCTAGCTTCCCCAGCTTGGCATCCATTTTTGGGCTTCCCGTCTCTTTCCCTTCCTTGTCCTTCAGCTTTCGCTTCTCCTTTTTCTTTTTGTCTTTGAGTGACACCAGAGCTGGGTTCACGGTGATGGGCTCTCCCATAATCGTGGGCTTTGGTTGAATGGGTTTTAACGGAGGACTCTTTGGTGTAGCCTGAACCACAGTCGTCGTGAGGGAGGGCAGTCCGGGTATTGTCCCCGTGGTGGTGGTTGTAAAGGTTGCAGTGGGTATAGCGATTAGCTGCGGGGGAGTGGGGGCTGGGGCAGGGGCGATGGGCCGGGCACTTTTCAGTTTAGAGAGGTTTTTGTCCATTTTGCAGTTGTTAGCTTTCTTGCCCTTTTCTTTATCTCCTAAATTTTTCTTGTCAATTAATCCCTCTGCTTCCAGTTTAGGCATCTCAGCAGCCAAACTGCCGTCTGCGGCTGAGCAACTGTCTAAGGCGGCCGTCATGTTGGAGATGACTGGAAGGTTGTTCAGCTCATTGTTAAGGCCCTTCTTTTTGCCAGAATTCTTCCCAGCTTTAGCACCAATAATGGAACCTGGGCCATTGCTCATCAGCTCTCTCTTTCCCTTTGGGGTCCCAGGCGGGTTTCCGGCCCCAGGGGATGCCGGTGCCTTCACCTGGTCATAAGCAGATACGCTTGTGCTTGGCTCGCCGCATTCCAGTGCCACGTTACTCAACGCTTCCTCGCAGTCCGAGATCTTGTCCTCGCTGTCAGGCTCGAACTCCAGCTTGTTTTCCGGGTCTAAGTGTGCATGAGCCTGGTGGTACCTCAGGCCGTTAATGTGCTTGTACTTTTTGTTGCAGTTTGGGTGGGGACAGTCGATTAACACTGGAGAAGAGCAGCCTTGGTCCAAAAAAGTAGTCTCTGGTTTCCCTTGAGGGGTAGTGGGAGTGCTTCTGGAATTGGTGCGGACGCGCTTCCCAGGCTTATTGTCCTCAGAGCTGGAGTTCAGGTCCAGCTCCATTGGAGGCTTGTTTTTCCTTTTGTTGGTGGAGGAAGGGCTGGCTTTGATGTCCTCAGCGGCACAATTTGGGGGTGTCCTTCGTCCGCTGGCATTGAGGCTGCCCCGCCTCCCTTTCCCATTGGCCCCCCCTCTGTTCTTGTTCTGCAGCCCTCTAGACTCCGTGAAGCTGGCCTCGGAGCCCGGGGCTGCAGCAGCAGACCTCGCTCTCTTCCCTCTGCCCCGGCCCCCTCTCATCTCCAGGTCGCTTGTCGGTGACTCACAAAACCTATGGAAGCAAGTAACAGATGTGAAAATGAGCATTCCCAAAAGAGGCAGGTGAAATCACAGAGTACACAATGCAGCAGAGCAGTCAACACTCCAGTAGCTTAAGGGCTGGGCCCAGTCAAGGAAAAGACTGACAATTTCCAACACCTGCAAAAGAGCAGGCTACCAAGGGCTTATATTCTTTCTCACAAAAACCAAGGAAAAACAGCTCAAGTAGCTAGCTTCCACTCCAGTTCACATTCCCGTTTTGAGAAAAAAATGAAAACAAAGGCAAGAGAGAAGGGGTAGGGAGTACAGATCTTCTGATAGAAAAGAAATCTAGCATCTGCATTTTACTGCATTCAATCCTAAATTGCTCATTTCTCCTTTGCCTGGTTTCAATTACAGGCACACTTTTATGTGTTATGAATCCCTCTCTATAGTTTCTCTGCAAAGACAGGATGGAGGAAGGAGAGAAATAAAAAGCCCTGTTCCTACCTGGGAGGGGCCCAGTCATGCTTGGTGCAGTCCAGTAGGGTTCCCACGTATGTTTTGTTCCTCCAGGTGACATTGACCACTAGGACACCTGCAGAAGCCAGAGGATGAAAAAGGATCATAGTTACCACTGATTACTCTTATTTCCAGTTCACTTACTCTTTCCTGCTTTCTTCCTTTCTCTTTCTTTTCTTCTTTCTTTTTCTTTTCTTTTTTTTCCAGCAAAGTTCTATTCTCGTTTGCTTTCAAAAGCTGTGGTTTGCATTCTTCCTCTTTCTGGTTTCAGTGACCTCAAGTTAAAACCCACAGGAAATAATGAGTGTTGTGCATTCGTGCGCATGCGCATGTGGTACAAAGGGTGAAACTGTGTGAGAGGGTAATCAAGATACTGCTGACAGAAGGAAATGGTTTTTGCCATGTCCTGCTGTAAAACAGCAACATTCACCTCTTAATTTTTCTATTATTACACATAATTGCTTTCGTTTGGCAAGCAGCCAACATAAACTAGCGCCAGTTACCAGAGCTTAAACCAGAGGGTGACTGAAAGGAATCGGTTTTGTTTCCAATTCAACAATATAAAACGATGGTGATTTTTATTAAGAAAAAACATTACGCAGGTGCATAAAAATAGGAATAGAGGGGAGAGTGGGGACTTACCAGATAACAGACAATCAACTATGATTTCTCTTTCCTAATCCTCCCCTCTTCGGTTTTGTGAGACAATAATCAGCCTCAGTACCGTATCTGTTTCAGTGTTTGGTCTTGTTTCATATTAAGGACTCCTAAAATAGCCCTCTTAAGAAAATAAATGTGCACAATAGATTTGCTCTTGGGGTTATCTTTGGAATCAACTTTGGTAAGCATTTGCCTCAGAGGATTAGAAAAGAAATCTCAAAACTAACACACTTGTTTCCTGCAAGCCATTCTGCTTTTTCCAACTGCTTTGCAGACAGACAATTTAATTTAGCACTGCATCTGTGAATTACTAAACTTAAGTGCGCTTGGTATACCAAATGTCACAGAGAAACAAAATATAATATCCTCTTTATTTCTGAGAGGATAAATGCCAAATTAAAAAAAAAAAAAAAACTTCTTTAAAGCATATTTTAATAGAATCTTGATTTTGAGACATACATAAAATATTAGGGGAAAGAAATAAAATATTTAACTAAGCCTTTGTTTTCTGCACCTACCCCTACTCTTTCTTGGAAGCACCAGAAGACATTAGTCAAAGTCTGTTTCTAGCTGGTTTGCTCACTTGCATTACCACTGCCATTCTGAATTTTACAGAAAACCTGTAATGGGCTCCTTGATGGTAAGGGAAACCTCACAAGGTAAGACTCATTTCCTTGGGAACCTTTTAACAGCAGGTAAAATATTTGAGTGGTTGGGACTCAAGTAATGGAGAAGGATTCCTTCCAAAGTCTCTAAAGGAGATTTTAAAATTGTTTCCCATATGGTCTATGTTGCTATTACTTAGGCAACAGCTGAATTATTTACTCAGTGTTAATTCACTCTATTGTAGCAATAGGCTAGCAGGGGAAAGGCTAGGATGGAGCAAGGCAAGTATTTCCTCAAATCGCAGCTGATTCCAATGTAATTCCCTCAGGACATTTTTTAAAAAACCACTGAGTATAAAATTTCATATTGCAATGCGAATCAATGGTAATTAGGCATTTGGTCAAAATTTGCAAAAGAAAGAACAATTGGAGGAAAGGATTCTTTATGAGCACATCCCTTCAGGAAAGGGGAGGGGGTGGGAGAGGAGGCGAAGGGGAAGACTGAGCTGGTTTTCTCATCATCTGCTCTCTGGGGCACTGTGTGTGGTGTCAAAGACCTTTGCAGCTGCTTAAAATTCTTTAGCATGTCAGCTATATTTACAGTGCAGGAATATATCTGTATTGCCAGAAGGTTACTGCATTTTAGCTTTAGATGCAATAGGCTGAATCACTGCGTTCCAGAGTCCCTGATGTAGCACAAATGTATAATTAAAATTGCTTGAAAGGAAACATGAAAGAAACAACAAACCCTCCATTCTTGCAGTAATAAAATTAAAAACAGGAAAAGTCTGCACAGACACTTAACATTTGTCTGCAGTGAAAGGCTTTTGTTATTGCTTTTCCCCTAAGGGTTTCGCGTTTCCAGCGAACGCTGGCCGCGGATTGGCCGGCGCCCGCTGCGAGCACTCGCGTCTGATTGGCTGGGCCGAGGCGGCCGCCCGGAGCACGGAGGCAGCGTCCGGGGAGAAGCGAGCGTGGTGGAGGCAAAGGGACGCGGCCCCAAGGCACGCTGGCCGTCGGGGGCCAGAGGGCCGCCCGCGCTGCTGGGCTCCGCGGTGCCCACTGGACATGTGCTCATTCACACTAACGAGCCCGGCGTTGCAGTGAAAGCTGCGGTCTGCGTGACCGTGCTGCGCCCCCCCAACCACGCGGCTTCACAAAGCACGCCGGCCCACGCAGAACACTCAGAACGCAATTCACGGTCTCAAACAGGGTCAAGGGAAACCTGGAGCCGGAAAAAAGGAAGGGACCCAGGGCAGGCAATTAATCACTGGTTATCTGGGGCCACAGGTTGAAGCTGTCACAAAGGCAAATCTGCAGTCGCAACTTCCTCACTGTAAAATTATTCACAGCTCCTGCTGCTCTTTCTAGAAGCCACACAAGCAGACCTCCTATCGAAGTACAAGTGATGCCGTTCTTACTTGCACTCAGAAGGAATAAAGTCCTGGAAAGAAAAGTCCATTTTTAACTTCAAAGGGCCTAAATAAGTCACCCTTATTTTTCCAGAAGGACTTTGTATTTAAAATGCTCAAAACAAATGCTTTATACTCACAAGGAGATTTTGAACACTCTCCATCAAGCAGTGCTAATTAAATATGTGTGCTTGTGTCTAATCTTTCTTTATATGTATGAGCTGCTTCACAATGCCACAGAGTATTTAAATCTGCCTACAATTCATATGCGAATATATACAGTCACATGCTTACACAGCCAAATCTGCCACTCTATATTGGAATGAAGGCTTAAGGAATGTTTCTCATATAAACTACACAGTGTATTGTTGCTTTGTAAGAAGCTCTGTGTTTAGACAACACCCCATTGTGAAGGGCCAAGTATAAAGGTGGTGTTTTAGTTCTAAGACATGTAAATGATTTATCATTTTGCTGAAAGCTCAAAATCTTGAACATTTTGTAACCCACAGTAATATAAAGCAAACTATACTTACTGAAGGCATAAACCCCCATGATGAAAATTAGTCCTTTAAAAGTGCAAATTTGAATTTTATAAATCTGGGCATAAAGTTCTATTTCTCACATATACATCGGAAATAAGTGTACATTTATTCCAGAAGGATTAAATAGTTTCTTTTCATGCACATTTATTCAAACATCTAGCCTGTGAGCTAGGTGTTGGGGTCACTCAGTACAAGTGCTTTTCATCTTTATATTCAAGCATTCTACCATGTTTATTACTCTTCCATTTCCACCAATAGACTGGGCCTGATCATTCTCAGGAGCTAATGCACTATAACAAACATTTTATACTTGAAAAATATCTGAGGCTTATTATTAATAAAGTAAGAATACAGCTGAAGAGTACAATGGATGGTTTGAGAATGTGCTGACCACACGCAAGTTTCTTCTTTGTATTGTTAACACTTTGTCTAAGATGCTGCCCGCAAAGGCCTACTACCTACAGAACATTTAATAAGAACAAGGTCTTTATTATATAGCCTGAGCCTCTTACTTCCTCAAGCCAAAAAAGCCTGAGACCTCATAATGATTTCAGTCGGTGTTATGTCCTTAGTAAACGGTTTCCTGGAAGATGTCAAGCCCAACAAACACTTACTGTGTGTGTCTATGGGGTACACATTAGGTACCTAATTGGCGCTATAGAATCAACCATGTTTTACTTGGGACTCTATCTAAACTCTGTAGTTCAAGCGTCTGTAAGCTTAGAACAGAACAGATACAGGCATACACTGTAATGCAGAAGTGGAAGTATAGTTTTGTCGATTACCTGCATTTTTAGAGTAGGCCCTTTATGCTGTCACATCAGGCTAGACCCTGGATTTCATGTTCATGGTGCCCCCACCTAGACCAGTGATCCTAACCCTGCCCCCATCTGACTAGACAAGTGATGGGCACCGGGAGCAAAGGCAGCCAGCCCAACAGGGACTTAACATTGGGAATCTGAATGAGGAGTATACAAGTCCCAGAAAGTTGGCAATAGAAGTAGACGCCTAAAGGTACTAAGAGGCATAGAGAACCATGATGGGCCAAAGTTCTCAGGGTGCAATAGTTATGAGACCAGGAAGCCAACTGCACTGCTAGTGCAACACTCTCGGGACGTGTGTGTGTGTGTGTGTGTGTGTGTGTGTGTCCCTTTTCCCTCCAGCTTCATCACTGATAAAAGATTTCACCAGGCCGGGCTCGGTGGCTCACGCCTGTAATCCCAGCACTTTGGGAAGCCAAGGCGAGCAGATCACTTGAGGCCAGGAGTTCAAGACCAGCCTGGCCAACGTGTTGAAACCCCATCTCTACTAAACATATAAAAATTAGCCAGGCGTGGTGGCACTGCCTGTAATCCCAGCTATTCAGAAGGCTGAGGCAGGAGAATTGCTTGTGCCCGGGAGGCAGAGGTTGCGGTGAGCCAAGATGGAGCCACTGACCTACAGCCTGGGCAACAAGATCGAAACTCCATCTCAAAAAAAAAAAAAAAAAAGATTTCATAGCACTCACCCAGGATTGCCTAGTTATTTTCCAGACATCTTGTTAAAAAGTTTTTCCTTGTGTTAAACTAAATTTGTCTTTGAATACCTCGGTCCTGGCTGTACCTCCTGATACCCTGCAGATGCAGTCCACCCATCATCCAGTCAGCAGCCTTTCATCCAGGCAAGGACAATGACCATGCTGGCATTCTCCTCACCCCCTGCTCACTCTCTCTCTTTTTTTTCCCTCTCTCTCTCTCTTTTTTTTAATGAGGTGGGCTCTCAGTATTTTGCCCAGGCTGATCTTGAACTCCTGGCTTCAAGTGATCCTCCCACCTCAGCCTCCCAAAGTGCTGAGATTACAGGTGTGACCACACCCAG